ATCAGCTGTGTTCCAAGAATGCTGCAAGTTGTTTGGCATCCGATAGACCAAGACAACGCCACTTCACCCACAGTCTGATGGGATGGTAGAAAAGTACAATTGGACACTGGAACAGGAATTGGCAAAGTTTTGTAATAGTCGTCAAGATGACTGGGATGTCTTACTCCCTCCACTGTTGATGGCCTTTAAGACAGCAGAGCATGAAACCTCTGGATACACTCCAGCAAAGTTGATGTTTGGTCGGGAACTGCGGTTGCCAATGGACCTGATAACAGGACGCCCACCTTATGACGAGTTGGCTGAAAATGTGCCATAGTTCGTGAAAGTGTTATCGGAAAGGATGGATGATATTCACCATCAAGTGCGTTCAAACTTGAAAACGTCTGCCGATTCCATGAAGCTATGTTATGATAAGAGATCTACTGAAGTCAGCTTTATACCAGGAGACAAGGTGTGGTTGTATAATCCCAGGAAGACAAAAGGGAAGTCTCCTAAATTGTCTTCTCCATGGGAAGACCCATATGACATAGTGTATCATCTCTCAGACGTAACTTTCCGGATAAAATGTGGTCGGCGAGGTACGCCAAAAGTGGTGCATGCCAACAGGCTTTGGCGTTATCACAGTCCAGGTCATTTCAGTTGGAACGTAGTGAACAATGGAACAAATGACGCTGCTGAAGACATGCCACCTGAAAAAGCCACTGTCAAAGAAGAAACTCTACTCATTTTTGAGAAGGAAAATAGTGAAGCCGTTAATGAAGTTACTACCACTGATGTGACTGTTACCAATGGTAGGACATTTCCTGATGAAGCAGATGAACCCCACATGAAGCAAAAGCCAACGAGACGGAGACTAGTACGGAAGAAGATACGTCCTGTAAAATTAAGAGAATTTGTTGAATTTTAATTTTGTGTTTATAAATTCTCTATATTTAATGAAGTTATTGTTAATTGTTTATTGGTTTAATGTAAGTGGCTATTTTTCGGGACGAACAATACTAAGGAAGGGGCAGCGTTACGACAGCGGAACTCACGTGACGCTAGTAACACGTCATGAGCTTCTAGAAAATTCATGTCCCTTTATGAAGCCTCGATTGTTTACGGTATTCTTGTATATAAGACCTTCAAGAAGTGACGGCAACAATGGAATTGAATTGCAGACAGAGATAGAGACGACAATTGAGTCAAGCGTGTGAATCGTTCGTTCGTTGTGAATTATAGCGTTTGTTATAGCGTGACTGTGGAAATTAAGTGTATCGCAAAGTTGTATTCAGAAAAAATAAACCAGTTTTATTTAAGAAAGGACTTGCTTCGGTAAAGTTTCTTCGGAAAGAATTTTTACGGAAAATTAACAAACGACTAGAGACGTAACAATACATAATATAGGGATTGACTCCCTAATGATACCGATTGTATAGTGTACAAAGCATTGAGTATTTTACATGTTAGTGATAAAGAATTTGTAAAGTTATCTCGACTGAAACGAGAAGAAGAATGTTTGGTTTGGTTTTGAATTTCGCCCAAAGCTACACGAGGGCTATCTTTACTAGCCGTACCTAATTTAACAATGAAGAACTAGAAGGAAGGCAGCTAGTCATCACCACCCACCGCCAACTCTTGGGCTACTTTTTTACCAACGAATAGTGGGATTGACCGTCACATTATAACTCCCCACGGCTGAAAGGGCGAGTATGTTTGGTGTGACGGAGATTCGAACCCGCAGATTGCGAATCGAGCACCATAAACCCTTGACCATACCGGGCCGAGAAGAAGAAATACAATTTGGTGGGTTGGTCACTTTCTGGTTTGGTATCTTAGCGATAGTTTCTTGCCTTGTTTTTGAGCTTCTTTGGTAGAGAAGCAAATGAAAGTGAGTGGCAATCATTTTTTAAAGTAAAATTCTTTGTCATTGTTGATTTTTAGCGTGTATATTAATATTAGACCTACTGAGTACCTTGGCCATCCCTACGTATAGAGTCTATTGACTCTATGATAATGCATGTTTTATGTTTACAGAATTTCTATTTATAATTTGTGTATTTCCAAATAAATCTATAAGACATTTTTGTATATTTGTAAGTAGACAAGTAGATGTAGTAGTTATGAATGTACAACTTATAAATTCACAAAATATTTAACTGAAGTCACGGAATCAAATTGTAAAGAATGACGATCTAATTGACCGGACTTTTACATACGTATTCTTTTAACACGTATACAAAAAATAACTAAGTAGTAAGTTGTGATTAAATATGCAACACGCTATAAACAAATTTTAAATCAGGTGATTTGTGTATGTGAAGTTTGGCGAAAAACGAACTAGATGCCCAATCTTTGCATGAATTTTTTATACGAAATTGTGTTAAACATGTTTCGGGAAATCCCATCTCCCATACGAAACATTTAAGAACAACAAACCAAACAATAAAGCCAGGTATTTTGTAGCTGTGAACTGCACTCTTATGTGTATAGCGTTTGAACTGATTTGCTTTGAATTTCGTGCAAAAATATTCGAGAGCTGTCTGCGCCAGCCATCCCTAATTTAGCAGTGAAAGACTAAAGAAAAGACAGATAGTCAACCTCACCCACCGCCAATTCTTGGGTTATTCTTTTATCAACGAATAGTGGGGATGACCGTCACATTATGACGCCCCACGGCTACAGATTGCTAGTTGAGCGTCCTAACCACCAGACCAAGCTAGGCCTATTGTTTTCGACAACAATCCCTTATTCATAAAGTTAATGTAACTTGAGTCATTGTTTTAGCAAGATTTCTTGAAAAAATTTCTTCTCTTTAGCACTACATGTTTATACTTTGATGAAATACAATAATATTTAGACCACAGCTCAGTCTTATATAACATTTAGACTTACCACATTTAATATACTCCTGAATCATTTTACCCATACCAATAGAGTAAGTCTTAAACAATACATGGGTATATGTATAAGTATGAGTGTGAATAAAATACTAATTATGTTACGTATTAGAATTTCGAATAGTCCAAAGCCGAGTTAACTGATAATTTAAATTTAGGTTAAATTGTACTTTGGATTTAGTATTTAAATATATGCCGATATATAGTCAGTTTACGATATTTGCCAAAAAGATTGATACACACGGTTTTCGTTTTTAACACAAATACGTTTTAATGCACACACAACAGTACAATTTACAATAACAATTACTACAAACGGTGATTTATAAACAGAAGTTTCACAAATTTACAAACAATATAAAGTTTTCTTTCTAGTCTGGAACTTCACTGATATCTTATCGAGGGTTTACGATGAGCGAGTTAATTACGAGTTGATGTAAGTACGACTTTCCGGGAAGCCTGCTAGCTTTGTCCTTTGCCACACACGCTGAGGTTTTGATCAGTTGAAGTTAGGTAATGTTTTCGTAAAAATACTAATGTCCGATGGGAATCCACTGAAGTTAAACGATTTGTAATATTTGAAATTTATAAAGATTCCTGGTCAAATATCTTAAGTTTTCCTATTGATAAGCGTTATAAAAATCACAGTTATAGCCTTCGAAGTTTATAGCACACTGATTATAGTGAACTACTAATAGACACTCACTCACTTGGCTGTATTTATAGGAGTGGGAAGGTTTTCTAGAGAATTCAGATTACATAACAATACTGAGCTACATGTAAACGTTTACGTATATAGATACATTGTTGATTCCTACTCTCGAGAATCTTCTACAACTTTGGAGAATAGGCGGGAGTACTATAAGAGTACAAAAACAGTCAAAGAGATGGTGTTGGGAGCTGTTGATTTAGCTTCTTCTCTTGTCTATCACCTCAAAATTAGGGATAGATATACGTAGGCAGTCCTTGTGTAGCTTTGCGATAAAATTATAAATAAAACAACTATGTCAATTTCTATAAAACACTCACTGAATTACATTACACAATGACAATTTCAAATGTAGCACGTTTCAAGGTGAGAAAGTAATATAACATAAAAGGGAAACGCTTTCAATTTTGATGGTTACTTTGTTTTTAGAAATGAAACACGCATTGACAGCTAAAGAAGAAGAGTTGAGTGTCGTTCTCGTAGAAGCAGACAAGATGAAGTCGGCTTTAAACTTAGAGTTAGAAGAACGTGAGAACTTGAAAAAACATTATTTGAAAAAGCTTAAAGAGAAGCAACAAGAAACTGATGAACTTTTGTGGTAAGCACTTATAAATTCTACATGTGAATTAAAGCAACGGATTCTTATGTACTGTATCTTTTGTTGCTTCCCATACAAAATGTCATTTAAAGATAAATGAGACTGACTGCTTAGTCCGATGTATATAATTTGGATCTTAGTCAATATTTGTGATTATACATATATGTTATATGAACAACCCCACCACAAACACTTTGTATGAGCACACATGTTTTATCATAAACAAAAACTCTTGTTCAGTTATACGTCAGTTTCCGAGAAACACTTCTTCATTGTTCTTGCTCCTGGTTTAAATCTTTGCTATAATAGCTAAACTTTTTCTTCTAATGGGACTAAATAGTTTTTTTGTTTGTTTGTAATTAAGCACAAAGCTACACAATGGGCCATCCGTGCTCTGCCTACCACGGGTATCGAAACCCGGTTTTTAGCGTTGTAAGTCCGCAGACATACCGCTGTGCCACGAGAGCGGCGATTAAATAGATAAAAACAGCTAAGATCATGTGGGACGTTGAGCGAAATCCATCGTGCTGTTGAGAATTTATTTTCGCTTGACATATTTTTTTTTTTATTTTGTTGCGACCGACAACAACAACAAATTATGTAATGATGTATAATGTAGTGATCACATCTATATGATTTAGAATACCAGACTGAAATAGCCAAGTTTGATTACTATGAATTAGGATTTCATTAAAAGTATATTGTGTTGTTTGTTTTAAGTGAAAGAGATGCCGAATATTCACGAGAAAGACAAGGTTATGAAGTTCGCTTCCAAACACTTCGTGCAAAACTTTCAGAAGTGGAGGAACGCGCGGAAGAACAGAAAAGACAAGAGATACTTACTGTTGACAAGATTTTGAGACAAAAAGACGAAGAAATTCGGAAGAAAGAGAAGGAAATGAATGACTGTCTAGAAGAAAATCGACAAAAAGTGAGTTCCCTGGTTAAGCTGAGTAATTATTTCGAGTTTAACATCGACATTAAATAAGACCTCAAATGATAATGTAATAGTCCTAATGACACTGTTATTTCATAAAATAGTATCTTGTGGCAGTTCTATCAATTTTGGAAAATTCTAAAGTGATAGTGAAGAGATTTTCGTGTATTCCATAACCTTTTTATCCTTCAGGATTAACTAAGAAATCGTTCAATAAAGTGTAAAACACATAAGACACCTGCTGTGCGACGTGTAAGCCGGATTTTCACGTTTGATTTTTTTAAAATAAAATTTTTAACATATTTTTCATGAATGTAATAAAAACAACAAAATCAAACCTAGTCTATTTCAATTTTGGCTAGTGAGAGTTGTTAATGTGCTTTCATGTCAATCAATTGGATTAACCGTTATCCTTAATTTACTTTAAGAAGTAAAGCAACACAATAGGCTATATGTGATCTTAGTATAAGTCAGTATAAATTTAAATATGTAAACTATGATACATGGTCTCTGAAAAAATTAAAACATAACTGCTGATTTGTTCAAATTTAAATACATTTAAAATCTTGATGGCACTAACAATTATTTTAGTTTTTTTCCAATTCTTCGGAATTTTTAATTTAAGGTGACTTAAAATGTTTTGATAGTCGTGAAGTGTCATTTATCAGAAGTAAAAGTACTGTTCCACCTAGTTCTTCACACAAAGTTATAGATAAAAATACCTATTTCATAAATCATAATTATTCGTTAACAAAATATAGATACAAATCATGCCCTAGAAGTAAGTATATTGTGCAGAGATTTAAATTCAAAATAATTTTAGTATTTTAAACATTATTTTACTCGGCGTTATTTAGAGCCACTGAGCTACATTTTTCCAAAATCTGGTTTTTAGGCAGGCCATAAACTTATTATGCTTTAATTATAGATTATTTTAAATCACCATGAAGCTAAAATTACCAAAGAACTATAAAAAGTTGCATATTGCCCTAACTGTAATAATTGTGATGCTGTTTATCTCTCAAAACGTTAAAAATCTAAGAAAATGAACTTAATGAAATTTAAAGTTAGGTTGGTTTGTTATAGAATTTTCGCTCATAGGCGTCCCTAATTTTGAAATGATAGACGAGAAGGAAGGTATCTAGTTGACAGCCTCCATACAAACCATTGCGCCACTAAAGAAACGAACCATAAAATATCGTCTTCATAGTGTGAGCCACACCCAGCCCTTCAATATAAGTCATACTTCTATTTCGTTCCTAACAGAATAGGCTTATAACAGAAATTCACGTATTAGCTGGCACAATACATCTACACGTTTTTAAGCAATTTAATCAGCAAAACAATTTTGTGAAAAAATTAGTTGAGTCCTTCTTTACCGTTCCACACTTAACAGTTCTTAATGGTGTGTGGCTTAGGCGCCAGTAGATTGGTGTTATATGTCGTGTGACGTGGTTTTTGTGTGAGGTGTATCATTTTACCTTGCGTGCCATGAAGATTAGAACTGGTAATTTATCCGAAAAAGTGACGATTACAAATGTATAAATTAGTTGGTATCATTTTTAATACGCTTTATTTTCATCTGCTGTTTGATTTTAATAGCTAGAAATCCCCCCCCCAAGAAAAAACAGGCAATGACTCTGAGGTTATATGTAAACTATCTGTTGTATGTTCATGTAACTACTTCGCAGGGTATGGATAGATGTTCACCAAATTTGGTATGGAGGTTCATTGGGTCTATGGGGAGATACATACAAATGTTCAGTTTTGCATTCTGCGGTTTTGATGAGCGTTTTTACCACTACTTTGCCCCCTCTTGATGGATCTTCACCAAATTTGGCATGAAGGTTTGTTTGGTTTATACGGATATACAAGCAAATTTGTGGTTTGGCATTTTGTGTTTTACCGTCTTTATACATGTTTTTTTACAATTACATATAAGTGAAGCAACTTTTCATGTCCTAAGATAACCTTTCATTAATCATGAATTTACATAAGTTCTGTCCAGGGGACGGGTACTCCAGCTAGATTTTAATAAAAGGACACTGTTTTTATATTCACATAAAACCTCGCTCTACATTGCTTTCTGGTATAACTTGTTGTTTTTTTTTCTTCACCCCCTGTTTTACTGTTTTATTTCAAACATGTTTATGATATTGTCGATCCTCTCAGCTGGTTTTTGCACTCCTGGTTCTTTCGGTTTTGTGAAGTGTAGTAGCTCGCAATAATCTTTATACCATGCTCAGCTAACCCTAAATTGCAGTTTGGTTTGTTATGAAATTCACGCAAAGCTACTCGAGGACTGTATGAGATATTAGCTCTTGTTGTTATTGAGGAATGCCACAAAATGGAAACTTTATGTTTTCAGACTATTAGTTATGTATGTTATAGTTTCATCTACTTTTATTAGTTAACTGTAGGTAGTAGTTTCATCTACTTTTATTAGTTAACTGAAGGTAGTATTTCATCTACTTTTATTAGTTAATTGAATGTTATAGTTTCATCTACTTTTATTAGTTAACTGTATGTAATAGTTTCATCTACTTTTATTAGTTAACTGAAGGTAGTATTTCATCTACTTTTATTAGTTAATTGAATGTTATAGTTTCATCTACTTTTATTAGTTAACTGTATGTAATAGTTTCATCTACTTTTATTAGTTAACTGTATGTAGTAGTTTCATCTACTTTTATTAGTTAACTGTATGTAATAGTTTCATCTACTTTTATTAGTTAACTAAAGGTAGTATTTCATATACTTTTATTAGTTAACTGAAGGTAGTAGTTTCCATTTAACTAATAAAAGTAGATGAAACTATTACATACAGTTAACTAATAAAAGTAGATGAAATACTACTTTCAGTGAACTACCAAAAGCAGATGAAACTACTAACCTCAGTTAACTAATAAAAGTATATGAAATACTACCTTCAGTTAACTAATAAAAGTATATGAAATACTACCTTCAGTTAACTAATAAAAGTAGATGAAACTATTACATACAGTTAACTAATAAAAGTAGATGAAACTATTACATACAGTTTACTAATAAAAGTAGATGAAACTATTACATACAGTTAACTAATAAAAGTATATGAAATACTACCTTCAGTTAACTAATAAAAGTAGATGAAACCACTACCTTCAGTTAACTAATAAAAATAGATGAAACTACTACTTTCAGTTAACTAATAAAAGTATATCAGGTAGTAGTTTCATCTACTTTTATTAGTTAACTGTATGTAATAGTTTCATCTACTTTTATTAGTTAACTGTAGGTAGTAGTTTCATCTACTTTTATTAGTTAACTGTATGTAATAGTTTCATCTACTTTTATTAGTTAACTGTAGGTAGTAGTTTCATCTACTTTTATTAGCTAACTGAAGGTAGTAGTTTCATCTACTTTTATTAGTTAACTGTATGTAATAGTTTCATCTACTTTTATTAGTTAACTGTAGGTAGTAGTTTCATCTACTTTTATATATAAATTTATATATAAAATCAGAGTGAATATATATAACCTTTTTATTGTCTTTTAATACGTTTCTGTCTAATATATGCTGTAATAAGAACGTATGTCATGACAAGATAAGCAATTATGTTTCATTCTTATCATAGTAAAATGAATTAGTATTTCTATAAACATGTTGAAATGTTTGTGATATTTAAAACCTTCGTGTACAATTATACTTCGTTACCATCTCCATTCTTACTAATACATAAAAAGGATTGTTCGTTCCATAATGGGATCCCTTGTATGATTATGATTCTGTCAAGCTTGTTCCTCAAAGTATCAGAAGAAGCCTGCAGAAAAAAGGAACAAGTAGAGTAATAGAGGGAAAATATTGATATAAAAAGGGAACAAATAAGAAAATTACTTTACTGAAATTATGATTTAATAACATAAGAAAAAAATTTAAACAATAAAATTCTTGAAAAAAAGACAATAACTATCAATACGTCTAAAAGATCGATATCTTGGTAGAAGTCGAATTATGTGATATCTAATATTTTGTTAGAAAATATTTGAGTTTCCATACATTTGAAATATTAGCTCTCAACACATGGACAAACACAACAGGCCTTCCACGAATTATGTGATATGTAATATTTTGTTAGAAAATATTTGAGTTTCCATACATTTGAAATATTAGCTCTCAACACATGGACAAAAACAACAGGCCTTCCACCATGGACTTTAAACCGTTATTTGTTGAAAACATTTCACCCTTTACCTAAATACACATTAAAATATGTAGAAAAAGTGAGAAGTGTACCTCTCTTATGTTTCCTTCAAATACATAAACCTATCTTCTATTACTATATCTCACCTTATAATCTTGTCAATAAGTGCTATAATTATTGAGCTAAAAAATACACCAAAACCATTCCACGCAAAACTCCACCACAGAAGACATATCTACCTGACATTTCTCTCAGAAAACGGGCATCCAACTCAATACATCCTTTATAAAGCACATGCAAACAAAACACGTATTTTAAGAAGGAAAAACTAATCTCATAGCTACATTGACTATTTCTCTAATCAGCAACGTGATCATAGTAAAAATGAAAAGTAGTTAAAAAAATCCAAGCTACCAATCAGAATAACACAAGAACCTAACAGGACACTCCAAGAACATTTATTAAACACACCTTTTACAAAACTACTTGCTAAACAAGAGTTAATGGTACAAGTCTGAGATTTTACTAAATTATAGTTTTGAATATATACGTATATAACATTTACAATACAAAACAAGCCTTGAACAAGAACGCTGAACATCAAAACAAAGTCACTAGCCTGTACAGTGGAGAATAAGATGTGTCCAGGTTTTTGGAAGTGACTGTGGAAACTTAATTCACAATGCGATAGGGATACACTATTTATCAGTCTTAACCTCCGTTCGCAAAGCCCCACAAATAAAGGAAAACAATGCTAAGAGATTAAATTAAGAAGAAGGTAAAAGATAACAGGGAAAGATGTGAGTACTTAAGCCTACAACGTCACACATCTATATTACCCTTCAATGGCTTGAGACAGGTGTGGAAAGGTGAAAAATATATATATACCAAAGAAGTGAAAAAATAAATACCAATATAGGAAATGAGAAAGAGAAACGTCTTACCACTGGGAGAGAAAATCTTACTTCCTGACGTTGGCATTCCAGGCTCCATCATGGTAGTAAAAGCTCGAATTAACAAGGTAATATTAATAACACAGCATAAATATATATATATATATACTAGAATAAAACCCCCACTGAATTGTCTAAACTACTATAACACACATCTTTCATCAATAAAGTCTGCTGTTACTACTAATTTTTAAGTATTCTTCTCCGCTTGTGTATTCATGTGTGTTAATGAAAATAGTGTCAAGAGTTTATTGTCAAACAAAATATAACATCTAATTTATATTTTTGTTCACAAACTTTAAGCATAATATTGTTAATTCTTACTTCTTGATACTTATATAATATATTTTTATATTTGTTACAAAATATTTTGATAACTTTATTTAATGTTTGTTTTTAATATCCATTAACTACTAATTTATATCAATATTTCAACATTAGCAGTAAAATAATGTAATTTTTTAGACATTCCACAGAACCTGGTTAGTTGTGAATTTATAATATCTATAATAGAAGAATGTGGAGCATTACTGTTAGGGACATTATCGAAAAGAAAATATTATTTCTTTTATCAGAAATATTTAAATTAACATAATTATTAAGTATTTTAATTTTTAGATCTAAAAAAACGTGCTTCTAGTGCAGAAATTAAAGTATTAGCAATTTCTATTCGTTCTTCGGACTTACCTTTCCTGTATGCTGCACTTAAGCTGCAGAAATCTCCTGTAGAATTTAGATTTATTTCCAGCTCACTGTTAAAAGTATTGAAAACTAGCTATTTTATTAAATGTGCTGCTTATTATTTTATTTGGCAGCATTAATAATATAAGTAGCAATAATAATAATAAATATTCAACGTATTTTGGAATATTTAATAATTGTGTAAAAGTTAAAGCTGTTAAAACGTTTGATTATATTACTGTATATACAACAATACCTTCGAAAGATTTAATTCTAGTTATGTTAATAAAACAGTATTATATCCTTCTATATTAATGTATATACAACAATACCTTCGAAAGATTTAATTCTAGTTATGTTAATAGAACAGTATTATATCCTTCTATGTTACTGTATATACAACAATACATTCGAAAGATTTAATTCTAGTTATGTTAATAGAACAGTATTATATCCTTCTATATTACTGTATATACAACGATACCTTCGAAAGATTTAATTCTAGTTATGTTAATAGAACAGTATTATATCCTTCTATGTTACTTGAAAAAATATATTTTAACTCAAATATATAAAGTATATATATTACGTTTCTGTATTTATAATAATTATATATTTTTTCAATAATCGGGTACATAAACAAGCGGTAGGAGTTCCAATGGAAGTTAGCTATTCTCTTTGTATAGATAATTTACATTTTTATGGAAATATGTTTATTGAAAACTTTATAAATCCGGATGTTTTGTTCTAATGTATTTTTCTGTTATACTACTAATATTGCCTTATTAATTTGAACCTTTACTACAATAATGGAGGTTTAAACGCCAACTTTAGGAGGTAAGGTTTTCTTACTCACAGCTCCCAATGTTAGGACTTTTCCTTTCTCTTTTCGCATATATTTTTCACTTTTTTCTTGTCTGTAGGCCGTGAAGGATGATATGGATGTGGGACATTATGGGCTTCAGCAACCACACCTCTCTTTAATCTTTTGCTTAATTTTTTTCTTAATTTACTATCTTATTAGTATTATTTTTCTTTATCTGTGACGCTCTGCGAATGGATGTTAAGATTATAGACGGTGTATACCCACTGCTATATGGGTGTTATTTCCATAGTCACCTCTAAAACCTAGGACACATCTTGTAACCCATGTTATAGCCTGTAGCCTGGTGACTTTGTTTTGTTGTGCAGAGTTTTTGTTTCTTTCATAATAAGATTGGACTTACTATTTGAAACGCAGTACTTCATTTTTTGATATAAGTATTAACGTAACTGCTTAGGTATTGTTTATGTTTACATTATATATATATATATATGTACACATCAGAAAAACAGAAAGGTCTTTACATATACGGATTTCGACCATATCAACCTACCATAAGATTATGAAGAAAACTAAAGTGCCCCATATGAACATTTTTTAAATACCATGGAACGCTACCAAATTAATAGTGACTCTACCTTCAAAGTAGGTATCCTTTTTAGAAAACAAGATTTTAAAGAAAAAAAGGTACATAGAAGCGTTGCTTATCAAAGAAAATAGTTCTAAAATAAATAGAAAGGATGGTTTGTTTGTTTGAAATTAAGCACAAAGCTACACAATAGGCTATCTGTGCTCTGCCCACCACGGGTATCGAAACCCGAATTCTAGCGTTGTAAGTCCGCAGACATACCGCTGTGCTACTGGGGGGCAGAAAGAATGGTAATTTTAATCCTTAAAGAACTTACGATTACACAATGAATAATTGAGCTACGTTATACAATAATTTTGATCTAAAAACAAGTTCGTTTTCAGTTTTAAATAATGCACGACGGTTCAGTCTCTTCAATAAATCTTTGTTTAATCACAATTGTAATTTTTTATAATATTTTATTCTAGTCACTGATCTGCTACGTCCTGCTACAACACGTGTACGTTCAAAACAGGAACAGACTTTAAACTAGCAAATGCATCCGTCTTTTCCTTTGAAATCGAACTTTTCACCTGTAACAGAGTTTTTATATAGTCGTTTGATTAAGGTGTATTTAAGCTGTAAAATTAAAATTACGGAATAAAAAAGGTTGTACTTATTTATTTAGAATAAAAATTAAAGTTTATATCTATTAATTAAATAATATGGTGTGAATAATCACATTTAAGATGGCATTAAAGTAACTCGTAGAACCTAAACTGGAAAATGTTTATGTAATGAGACTTGCTAAATATAGTATAACTTTTTTTAATATTACAGATTGAGGCAATATCCATGAAACTGTCAACAGTTACAACTCAGAAAAGCCATCTTGTTGAAGTGTTGCAGGAGTACCTCCATAAATTGAAAACCTTAGAACGATGTTTGCGAGATAAGGATTGGGAATTACGGGACAGTATAGCATTAAGAGACACTAGGTTAGTAGAAATACAAATAATGTCTTATGAAGTAATGTCTCATGCAAGAAGCACAATATTGTCTACACAATTTAATTAGCTCTAAGTTTTTAATGTTAAAAAGAAAATATAGCTCTTTTTTGAGTGATCCTGGGAGAAGTTTTATTAGAATTGTAGTTTATTTGTTTTTGAATTTTGCGCAAAGCTACTCGAGAGCTATCTACACTAGCTGGTCCTTAACTTAGCAATGATAAGCTAGAGGGAAGGCAGCTAATCAACACCACCCACCGCCAACGTTTGAGCTTCTCTTGTACCAACAAATAGTAGAATTGACCAACACTTTATATCGCCCCCATTGCTGAAAGGGCGAGCATTTCTGGTGAAGGGGGTTCGAACCCGTGACCCGCAGATTGCTAGTCAAGCGCTCTAGCCACCAGGCCATGCCAGGCTGAAAATTATAGACTGGAGAGAGAGGGAGAGCAACAGTTTTAAACTTATTTTTCACAACATCGCTTATGAAGATTTTACTAACTTAAAAGACTTAATAAATAATGAAAACAAAGTCAGACCCAGTATTGAAAATGATAAGATTTATTTAATATAAGTCCTGACACACACATATATGTGTAATATTGGAAATAATTACAGGTAAATTTTACAAGTATACAACCCCTTTAATGTGTGAAAATGAACTGCACCAGAATACAGTCATATTTTATTAGCTTACACTGTAGACAACCAATCAGAAAGCACCACACCATTAAAAAGACTATAAAAGTACAAGAAGTCACACTATGCTCAGTAGTGATAATATGAATGTAGTCATGGTTCCCAGGACTGAAATGCCACATGACAAGCGACTGAAATTTTTAGGTGCTCATTGATAATCCAAACGAAAAATTGTGCCAAGGCTCCATGTTTTAATAGGAGCTCTATGCAAAACTCTCAAGAGGTTACGTACAGCTGGCACTGTAAATAATAGAAGCAATCGAGGTAGAAAACTGGTATTCTTCCAGTCGATGTTAAGTTTCTCAAAATATGTTCTGTCGAGTACAAATCTTGACAACAACATTGCTGCAAATACAAGTGTAAATGTTACCATGGGAAAAGTAAGGCACACATTAGCATGAAGTAGTCTCAGTGGATGTGTAGCTGCTCGAAAATAACTGATGAGATAACCAAATGAAAAGATTGAAATGAGCATCATAATAAACAAGGGAATGAGCGAAACTGGAAACATGTGCTTATTACACATGAATCCAAATTGGATTTGTTCAGCAACAATCAATAACAGTTTGTACTTGTTTGTTTGTTTCAGGTAGAAATTCTGTTCGAGGATCTTCAGCGATACAAGTGCTTTCTTGATTAAACCACTTTGTTCTTCTTCTATACAAATTTTTAGTACACAGAAAGTTCCACAATCAGTAC